ATGGTGCAAATGTATGGAAGGAATCTGTTCCAGACTCCATTTGTCTTTTGCCGAAGCTCAGACTCTGGCGCAGGATCGGGAACGTTGGAAGCTCTGTCTGACGCGTCTGCCTCCGCGACCCGAATGGAGAAGCGGCGATGGAAAGATGATGATGATGATTTGTATTCAGCTATCAGGATGGCGCAGGGGAGCTGCAATCGCGGCAGAAAGCATACCTTCGTCACTCTGCAACATGAGCATAGCAAAGCATCACGTTGTTTTCAGATCAATCACTTCCTACCCGTTTAAGGTTACGGGTTGTTTGCACCGAAGCCTTCCTTGCTCAAAGAAATCAGTAAATGATACTGTATTTGTATGCTGCGCTGGGAAACTAACCCAACACAATCAAAGTATATTCTACCATACTACTGGCCGCAGTTAATGTTATTGGATGAGTAATTGTGTGTGAGCAAACCATTGACTGACTGACTGACTGACTGACTGAACTATAAACAAAAAAATAAACGACTGAATCTACGAATGAAAGAAGGAGTGAATAATGAAGGAATGAAAAATGAATCAGTAATGAATAAGCAATCGAGTTAATGACTGTCTAAAACGACGAGTAACGGAATGAAGGAATGAACTGGTGATGCGGTGAGGGCATGAGTGAATTAAAATTAAAAACAACTTTGGCATCATATCCTGTACTATTGTTTTGTTACTTATCAGATGGCTTGTAGAATGAATAGCATCATTAAGGCGCAGGCATAAGCGTCAGATAGCATGTCGGTATGTCTCGTACCCGTTGGCATCACCAAACCAGATCATCATACTGCCACTGTTGTTCGCAGACCTACTTGTTGCTCCTGCTTTTCGGCTCGTAGCACCGAAGAATGGCCGAATGAATTTATTGTTTAAGGTAATTAGAGATTAATTTCCGCATCTCTGAGGTGTTAACTATTTTGCCAATTTGTTGTTGTTGTCATTGTTTTGTCATCGTTATCCGAGGTTAACAGAGCTTAAGCAGCAGACTAACCCAGATCTGCTCATTTTCTTACTAATTGCTCCACCCCCGGAATAAATTAATGAATGAATGAAAAGACTCGTGAATGAATGTAACTTCCTTAAACAAAATGGGATTGTTTTAATGCATACAGATGAGTGTCCGGGCGAAGGGCGTATTCGTCTATCCTATGACAACCCAAGACTTATCAGAGCATTAGTAATAGACTTGTTGCAGGTTAATGTTATAGACTTTCATTGGAGTATTTCTCAGATTTATCTTTGCGCGTAGGTGAGAGTCTTGGTGAAGTTGCTGTCTTTGTCATAGGGCTTAATGATGAAGTTATCATGATTTATACTAGTCTAGTGTATGGTAAATGTTCAAGCGATTTCTTTAACGACGTTTGTTTGACATTTTTCCAAATTTAGAGCTTGACCATCGATAAACAGTGATGTCCAGGAAAGCGATAGCAGGCGAACAACCGGCGGTGGACGTTGACTCTTTGTTGACGTATCTTGAGGCGGAACACAAGGTGTTGAAGATACTTCTTAGCCGGCGAGTCGAGGTGTCGAAGCGTTGCATCCACGTTCAGCGCGAGACTCGGCAAATGGTCATCGACAAGGTGGACGGCAGTGGTGGCGGCGGAGACACGAAACAGCAGCGGTCGAGCACCCTGGACTTGCGCTATATCAAGGACGTGCATACGCTCGACTACAAGCTGAACAAGATGCGCATCAACGAAAGTAAATGGCGCCAGCGCGAGCTGCTCTATTACGACCCGAAGAAGGTGATGCTGATCTACCACGGCAGCGAGTTTGTCCTCAACGTCTCGGTCTTTGCCTGTAAGTGTGGTGTTCTCGATAGAAGTTGCTTCACCCTTTGACGTTTGACATTAAAACAGTTAATATGTAAAACTTTAAAACATGAATAGAATTATTGCTTTCACACGCGGTGGATAATTTTTCATTGCCATGATCACAAACGATCGCAAAAGTTTTAGATCACAGTCGATCTATCGTCGAAGTTCGTATCACACACAAAAATGATATCAACGTATAAAGATAAGAATGACTCTTATCAGCATTACAATCGTTATACGTGACGTGGATTTTGAGGATGAATCGAGTGTGATGCGAAACAAAAATCTGATGAATTGTTAATACTTTGATTATACGCCAATGTGCTTCTTTATTACGGTAACGAAGATAATCTAAAAAAGACAGTTGGATAGACATATCATTTGAAGCGATCGAAAAACAGCAAAACGCGATGGAAGCGTTTTATCACGATATTTAAAATGATTGTTATCACGATCTGATGCTTTAGTTTTCATCACTGGGACATTCGTGAAGGTGATAAGTGTGGCTGACCACCCGATAAATGCACGCCAACAGTATCGCACACGATATCACGACGATAGTGAACCATGAACAGATTTTTACATTTTTCAAACATATCGCAATACAAACCGTACAGTCTTTCAGTTTTTCAATTCGAATAAGAATCCAAGTGCTGAACACCTACATCAAAGCAAGGTTGAGAATAAATCTGCAGAAAACGGGTCATATTTAGGAAATACATCATTCCGTCACTTGTTGAACTGAATGCATTTATGTTAGAAGAGGTGCAAAACAACGTCTTTCCTGAACAACTCATCTGTTGAACTAAGAATGAGCTCTGTAAGATCACCAGAAGAGTATAGATGACTCGGGACACTTTCGGAAGATTGAAACTGCCCTTGTGCTCGAAACGGAAATTATCCAGTCAGTGTGCTTTCAGCGCTAACCTGTGGCTTCGAAGCGTGGACCTTAAGCCACGCAACACAGCATTGAAAGGTGTATGCTGGAAATAATGAGAACATATGGCAAGAGCGCAGACAACAGTCTGCGATTTCATTTGCCGATGTGGAGAAGTTAAACGGATAAGTGAAGAATAACCAGCCGGTAGAAACACCTCCAGATCGATGGCAGAATAAACATAACAAGTTCACTGGATTAAAATGAATATAAATCATAGAAAACAGGGGTTTCGTGGCAAAGTTTTGTAGAGGTCTTCGTCCAGCAATGAATCGAAACAGCTTATGACGAGAGTAAAATTGCGACTTTTAAACAATCAGTTCGCAGAACGCAGCTGCATTCAGAGTCTTGCTTTATGCGTGTATTATTTCGCACAGTAAAGTTAAAACGATGGCCATCGTGTTTTATAATCATAGCTTGCGGACATACGTTGAACTTCACGTATTTTGTTTTTGATACACCAGTACATACTAATGCAACATATGCATATAGCATGCATATAGCATGTTTCTTTGATTTTTTCTGCTTTGCACGGTTTATACATGTTAATTCTATATTTTCGTACCCTTGTTCCTATAGTCACACGACATCGTTTACGTGACACGTTTCAATGTAGTTCAAGCTGTAATGTTGTATGCAGTATATTTGTATGTATGCGTTACGCACAGTGGTATATTGTCTATTTATTATTAACTTATGTCAGTTTACTGTTTTGTTATAGTTGAAACAATTTTCTTACGTATTTATTTACGTCTTACACAGCACGTATATAACTACAAGTTTATGAATAATATCAAGTATTTGGTTGAAATGCTCGGAATCTCATCCATCCTGTTTGTGAAGTATTATTAAACTAGTGTTTGCACTGGGTGATTAAGAACGCCTGTTAAGCGCCACACCTCTGTTTTTCCTTATGGTGCGTCGATCTATGCATCTCACATCCCGTATATCTAAGGTAATGCCATGCTTGTTGTCAGGAATGTTTCAGGAGCTGCTACTCCTTAATTGACTTTTGCTATTATTATCATTTGCTTTCGACAGCTTTGTACTACGTGAGAAAAAATCTGTGTACGCTTAAGTTTGTGAACCAGTGGACTCATCCTATGCACATAAATATTCCGTGGGATCTGATGTATATTTTCGATTGTGCCCTTATCGTATTCTGCACGACTGTTGTTTATGATTCTTCATGACTTATGATCACTATATTCGGCGCATGGTTCATTGTGAGCATATTTCTTTTCTTGGCTGACATAACTTGAATTCGGGTGTAGCGTGAATTTCATATTCCGTCTACATGTACCCCCCTATAAAATGGATCCGACATTTTTGTATTAAATTCGGTTAACAAAACAGCTGACGTATAAATCTGACGGAACAGCGACATTAAACCAGTATTATACTTTATCGTTGCTTGTTTTGTAATAAGAGCAGAAGTGCCCCTTTTCTTTCTTCTTGATGTAGTTAGGTTGGTGTCCTCTTGTGTAAATTTGTCTCTACGGAAAGGAGGCAATGGAGAGATCTGGCAGTAACCATTGCTTTGCGTCAGCCAGTCACTTCGGGTTCCATGATATGCCTTTGCGCTGCCTGGATGGCTGAGGTCTATAATCCTGTAATTTAATCTTAGCTAGTTTTCCGTAATATCTACGCGGAGTCTTAACTTACTGATGGCGCCTTTTATACCATGTAAACCATAGTTACGTTGTAAATGAAGTAGCTTGGCTGCTGATTAAAATCACAGTCGTAATAAATGAATCATCATCATCAGACCTGTCAGTGGATATGCGTGTCACAGGGATTGATTACAACTAGCACTGTTACTACTTCAGATTGTATCGGCTGTTTCATATTCATGCTGCTGACTTGAAATAACAATTTTTTGAACTCGTTACCGTACGTCTGATAAATATGTATCAGTGGACAAATATAATTTGCTTGTGGTTCTGTTTGTTCATAGTTGCGATGTACTTCGTTAACAGCTATTGTTACTTAACAAATTCATCACTGTGAGTGACAGCACTACTTTGCAATAGTTAAATATATCTTTAAGTTTGAAATTCAAAATATATAGCGCATTTAAGTATGTATCTTCTTTCATAATTTCGACAGTTTGGTACGCGTCAGGCAGTCGTGATCATTGTAAAATCCGGAGCAAGATTTGCAGCGATGAAGATAGCAGGGCACTTGTGGGTAGGTGAATTTGCTCCGTTTTGATGATAGGCCTTATTTGGTGCCAGTTTCATGGCTTGGATTACGAAAGGCCAGGTCGAAGGCAACATGCGGATAAGTAGTTATAATAAAAAGTGTTCTTAAAGGAAATCAACATTGATAAACTTCAGTTCAAAGCCATTGCACGCAAGTTCCCTTGGGAAACATGCATATTACTTTAAAAAAAATATTTACGCTTCTTTTTCATGACTGATTAGTAGAGTAATATATATTGCTAAATCTGCAGTCATGGTGTTCTGAATACCTGAAACCGTTAACAGCTTATCTTCTTATCTGACTTATTTTAGTTGAAAAGTCTAGTGACTGCGACTGTTGGGTGTCGGGCCTGCAGTACCTGCGAGAAGAAACCGCCTCGACGCCGCATCCACTGATCATCGAGCGCTGGCTTCGGAAGGAATTCTACTCGCTGTGCGAACCACCAAGTCTGACGTACGCTTGTTACCGCCGACGTCGTCGTCGACGCTAGTGCCACGACTTTCACTTTTTAGTATCTCCGTAAAGGTGTTGAAGTTATTCATACAACAGCGGTTACAGTGCAAAATCTCGTCCAAAGGCTTGCAAGAGTTGGTCAACGTAAGTTTCGATTTGCGACTAATGCTCTAGTTTCACCCGTTAAACGCTGAATACGTTTACATGCACACGCAGATAAAAGGCTGCATAACAGATTAGGCACATCTGGAATGATTATGCATATTCTGTGTTGTATATGTCAGTGATATATGTGTATTAGAATGCATATGGAGAAATTATTCACTTCCCTTACTATACAGTACGGATAAAACAACACCAACATCATTAGGAGGAATCGTCCAGAGCATTTCATTTGGTAGGCCATTCCATATAATTTTAGTTGTAAAGAATTGAACATTGTTGACTTGAAAAGGACACACTTGGTTTCCTTATCAAAGAGTTAGTATACATTTCTCCAGAAGAGTTAAGGATGTGCGAAAACCACATCTTTCTGCTTAGAAGTCCTGATCCATCGCTTTTCTAGTTTTTCAATCCTGTCCCTTCTCCCTTTCTACCTGATTACCTACAATGCGTAGCAAGTCGTCTCCCGCGTCACTACCTTACAACATTGAAAGGCGACTTCAGCGCACAAATTGAAGCAGGTAATGGCTCTTCTCGGAAGTTCTTGCTCATCGCAGAATTCATTATATGGACGACAAGAGCCTGTGACTACTAGGTATTTGTGCTTCACAGCGTTTGTTAGTCAGAGTATATTTGTTCCATCATAAGAGATTCGCTGGCTGATTTGGATTTCCGCTGAGAAAAAAATTGTAATCCATGTCAAACACATCACTATATTAAGCATTACGGTCTTGCCATGGAGCTTAATTAACGATATTTCTGAAATGAAACGAAAAATGAATTTTCTGTTTTGTTATGATTTTACTGTAAAATTATTGCCTAGGAACAACTATGGTGATGATTTCTTGTCGAAAGTTGAAACTTCGCAATAATGAATGAAATGCTACCATGCCTAAGGCCATTGCTTTGCTGAAACATTATTGAACCAAACATTTTTGTGATTCGAAGTTTCTGAGACTGAAAATTCAAGCGGAAGAACTGAAGTAGGTGGAGATTCTAAGGTTACCTTGGATGAATCCCTAATGAATGGGCACTACTGAAATCTCTTTTCATGAACCTATTTCTGAGAAGGCATACTAATATCCTTTATGTGACGTCTGTAAATTGATAGAAGCTGGAAAAAATGGTTTGGAAAAAATCAAATGTCCAGAATGGAATTTACGAGAACTCATGAAGGGCACATTTTGTATTAAAGAGCAGAGAAAGCCATCACGTAATCTTCGAGAATGCTAAAAGTTGTGTCTGTTGAGTTGAAGTACTTTGTACATCGGAAAAGAAGCGTGGTAGTTGAATCGCCAAACGCTGAAGAGTGTAAGAAAACGAAACAGCTTTTCTAGAAATATCAGCAAGCAAATACCGCGGAAGTAAAAACTGTTTGAAACGGATTAAGAAATACATTGACCGGAAACCTGTTATGGCTAACATGAAAAATTGAAAGGCGCATCTGATGTTGAATCCAGACGAAATTTCCAGTACTGTTTTTGTTTTATTCATCTTTCAGTCATTCAGTTTCGATGACCATTTATGTTTTGGTGGATCACCGAGGCGGATGCGGCAGATGGTGTTTCTGACGTTCCTGATCCGGTGACATCGTCAGGGCTTGGACAGAGGAAAATGCAGGACTGGGGCAGAATCCATCGAGACAAATGCTCCAGATCATTCTTGGCCATCACGGGGTCTTCGGTCAGTTGATTGGGCAAGGCATAGCTGTTTCGCCTTCCTTTTTGAAAGCATTCGCAAAACGTTTCTAAGCCATCACTGCTATAACTTCTCAATCTGTAAAAGCAGCAGCTGTACACCACAGCTTTCTGAGATATGTTATCTTCGAACTCTGTCGAGACAGACGAATGAATATGGTGATGCGTGTTGTTTTGTTTATTGTTTAAGATGTTCATAGAGGCAAGAATATGCCGACAGCATGTAGCAAGGCTCCTCTAGCGTCATTATGCAAAACGAAAATGGAACGAATATATTGACCTGTGGAAATTCTCTAGGAATTTTTGCTTCGCCGTACGAAGCTCTATGATACGGTGCAGTAAAAAGGGTTGAAGAAGGAAGTAGGTATAACCAAGAATCACTTTACCTTTATACTTGGCCGTCTACGAGAGAATATGAAGATCGATCATCGAAAAATACATTGAACGTAACTATGATAAACACATTTTCTTCGAGGACTTAAAAATGACTTATCGTAGAATATCATCTCACGACATGTGATGGAGTATCAGAAAGAAGCATGTGCAAAAAGCAAAAAGAGGTTACCCAAGACATCTAAAGTAGAACTACCTCGGTAGAAGTAAGGTAAAACAGAAAAACTCCCTCTTCATGTAGCGTCTGATGAAGGCAACATGTGAATCCATTGGTTTTTTCGATGGTAACAGGCGCCAACTAATGATCGATTATAAACAGCGCTATATATCCGATATTCCTAGGAGACAGTGTGATGCTGTGTTACGGTATTGGACAAGAGCTGAAAGCCAAAGTTAAAGCAGAGAACAGTTTCTGATAAAAGCGGATTTTACGTACAAACCGAATGTTTTTTCAGAGCCTAGGAAAACCTAGCTTATCTTGTGTAATTCATTTCGTTATTCGGTTGCAGAGAATTCGCATCATATATACGGCAATCTGATTACATCATGTTATGCAAATTTTCGCTGTTAGTGTTAAAAGCAGTAGTTGAATTTTGGCATTTACCTTATAATGGCGTTGCATGCACTTTTGCCTCTGCGCTTTATATACTGACGCGGGGTGTGGTGAAGGTTGGGGGCAGTTTTATACGTTACCAAATAGTTGTTTTTATGTTAAATACTAATTTATTAAGGCATATTAACGTAGTTCGTTTTGTCACAGACTAAAACCGGTTTTTAACAGTGAATGTGCCGCAATTTTTTCATGATTATTTTTTTTTAATACAGACCGCTTCTGGTTCGTTGTCGGTGGTGAGTGTACTTTTAGAAGAATCCTGGTTGAAGACAAAGGTTAGGAAGCAATTCATTAAAAGTAAAACGCTTGTTTCTATGTTCGTCCTCATGTTAAACTGACTGCTTGTATTGTGAGGCTCGTTTCAATATGAACCCTTGTAATGAGCCTCATGTTTACTTGATACTTTTGGCATCTGCAGTACATGCTGTATGTAGTTCTGACATTAGTCTGCACTGATTTTTCCACTCGGGCTTTATTCGTTTATTTTTAACCTTCTAACTTGATGCGCTGTCAGCTGATAATGTCTCATTGACTGCGTCACTGAAAGGATAGGGATCGTTTAGGGAAGGAATGAACATTTGCATTGTCTTCTAAACTGCATGCTTCCTATTCAGTGTATTCCTGATTTGATTATGAAGTGAGAGACTCGAGTAGAATGAATGCATGCGATAGATACTATGCTACACTCTCCATGTAGCAAAATAGCAAAGTATGAGGAGCGCCGACCTCACAGCTGGAAGATCTGAATAGTGATTCTTAGAATGGTACAGTCATAGTCTAATTAACTTCAGTATGAATCTTCCGTGGTGCATAAATGAATATTTGGCTAATTTCTTAAACTGATATCAGTGTCAGGCCTGAGATGGCTGGAAGCGAACAGATCCAATGATGGAATAAGTATGGGTCGTCATCAGGAATGAAAATTTAGTTGTGCAGCTGCGTTACGTCATTTGGCGCTTGACTTGATCGACGGAACGAGTCACTGTATGACATCGAAAATATTGGTATATTACTGAAAATATTAAAATCGTCTTATGCTTTTTATTGTCACTAACCATAGTATTGTATCATGACCATTCTTTAAAGGACTTACAACGGGTGTAAATTTTATCAAACAAAATTCAAACTTTCCGGATTTGGCTGTATCCACCATCAGTGGACGATATATAACAAAGTGCATGATCGGTTGCAGCAATTTTGCTGTCTTAAGGTGTAATAAGCTACACTTTTTGTTGATGCGTACTGTAGGTCAAGCTGACTGGTTTAGATGTAATTCAGTCATGGTTTTCCTCACCAGCTTCTTGGTTTCTTCCAGATTGATGTCTAGTCTCTGTCTTTGATCAGACATTCGTGTGATTTTATCAATAGCTTTTTTTTTAATCTGCCAGTAGTTCCTTTAATCTTTCGCGTAATAGGCCGTTCTGTCGTAGTAAAAAATTTAAGTTAGGTACTTTCTTCACACTGGTTACCATGTTGGTCGAGAGGAAGACCCTTTGATTAGTTCGCCTGCAGACCTCTGAACGGTGCTGGATGAATCAGATCAGGAAAGAAGGTGAAACAAGATTCTTCCTCGCATATGGTTGCAACCAAGGAAATCCGTCTCAGGAACGTTACCCTAGCATGTATTAATGTCGTTCTTTCTTTGAGATATGGAAAATATAGCAGTATCAGTTTATAAATATTTGAGACGACAGTTCAAAGATTGTTTGATCACGGCTAATTCAAACAGCGCTGCAATGCTTTTACTTTGAAGTGCAAAATCTCGTGAGAAGGGGAGGGTGTGAACTTTGCATAGCTGCCCGGTTTGTATAGCGACTCGTTTTAGGAAGTCTTTAGTCGGCAGAGTATTTAGAATGATCTGAGAGTTCTTTAAGTATTTGATGTGCTGTAGGTGTTGTGTTACGTTGTAAATGCCAGAAGCAGCTGTCGTTATAACACGCTGGTTTCATTCTTATGCGCGTGCATACTTTATTGATCGTATTGCTTTGTTATTGCTTTTTTTCTGCATCGAAGGCATGATTTTGCGGTTACTAACTTTGCTTTGATCGATCGGATGCTAGATTAAAAAGGCCTTGAAGCAGTGCTTGATTCGTTTGTCGTAGTCTCGTATTTTAAAGTAGTGTTTTCATTATTCGGTTGTCGCTGGACATGAAGGCAAATCTCAGTTGCACGTTCATCTGTGTTTTGTGAAAAATTTGCATAATAATCCATATGCGTTATTAGTGCGGAGTACTGTTTACCGATGTATGCATAAATACGTGAATAAATTCCTCTACCGTTTCATCTATGTGTTACATTAAAAATGAAAT